TCTACCGGGGGGGGAACTGGCACCAGGAAGTCCGGTGAGGGGGGGAGGGAAGGAGTACGGTAGGGGAAGAGGCGGTAGAAGGGGACTGACTCGTCGAACGTGACGTCCTGGGAGGACAGAACACGACGAGAGGAGGGGTGGTAGAAATGCCACCCTGGAGCGTCAGGGGGGAAGCCAAGGAAGACACAGGCAGCAGCACGGGGGGACAGCTTGTCCGCAGACAAGTCGCGGACAAACGCCCGAGATCCCCAGACACGGAACGCAGACGCATCGCCGACCTTCCCCGTCCACAGTAACACTGGGGACATATCGGGCCGAGAGACCCTGGGGTGAAGGTTGAGCTGATGCGCCGCGTACCGAACCGCAAACGGCCACAGAAAATGGGGGGCAGCCGCATGCATCATGGACGTACGAGTGACATCCATGACCATGCCAATGCGGCGCTCAGCAATCCCATTTTGCTGTGGAGAGTCCGGAAGCGTAAAGGTCTGGCGGATCCCCTGTGCACGACAGTAGTCTCGCAGAAGGCGAGAGGAGAACTCCCCACCTCGGTCAGAGTGCAGACGCAGAACAGAAAAGTCCGAGCCGAAGCTCCTCCTGAGCTGGAGACGAGCCTCGCGGATCCAGTCGATCAGCACCTCAGTGACAGCACCCTTGCTGCGCAAGGGGAAGACTGTGGTGTAACGCGAGTAGTCGTCAACCACCAACAGGAAGTAGCGCTCGTGACCCTGCCCACGGACGGGGGCCGGGCCCCACACGTCCATGTGAAGTGTCTGCAGAGGAGCCTCTGTCGGGGGAAACTGGGAGGAGTGAGGAGCAGCCCTGAGGCGCCCCTCGACACAGGGGACACAGGAAGGTCCTGGTCCCGAAGGAAGGGGAGGGAGAGACTGGGGAAGACCAGAGACAAGGACACGGGAAGCCATGCCCCGAAGACGGGGCAAGGAGGGGTGGCCAAGACGGTGGTGCCACAGGAGAGTCTCGTGAGACAAGAGGCGACACGAACAGGGGGCAGACTCAGGACCAGACCTGGACGCAGCAGCAAACACCTGACCTGACGCTGCTACCTGACCGGACGCAGGGACAGGAGGAGACTCAGTGGTCAGGGTGTAGAGGCTCGACCCCGGCCGACGCAAGAACGTGGCCAGGTGCCGGCCTGTGCGTGCGTCCGTGCAGTGGGTCACCCGCTGACTCGCAGGAGTGAACTGGTGAACCCCCGCATCCTGCAGGTCTGCACCACTCACCAAGTTCGTCGAGAACGAGGGGAGGTACAGGCCAGACAGGGTGCCCGAGGGGGCAGCCGGACACGGGAGGACAGTGGAAAAGTGAGAGAGGACAGGACCCCCAGAGGGGTCAGCCAGGGAGACTGCAACAGGCCGACCAAGCGGCGTGAGTGTGGTGCGGTCCCGAAAGAAGGAGAGAGAAGCCCCAGAGTCAAGTGTAAAGGTGAGGGAGGCCGAAGCCAACGCGGTACCTGAGAGCGCAGCCTCACCTGCACCTGAGGAAGCAGACTCACTAGCACCTAGAGTAGCAGCCGCACCTGTACCTGGAGCAGGAGACTCACTAGCACCCAGAGCAGCAGCAGCCTCACCAGTAGCTAGAGCAGCAGGTCCTATACCCGGGTCAGGCGGTACGCACAGGTGACCGGTACGGTCAGCACTAGTAGGCAATGCATACATGGCAGTGAGAATAGCATCATAGTCAAGAGCAAATATATCTACCCTCTGCCTAAGCAACTCCACCCAGTCGGGGAGCTCAGCCTCGTCGCCAAACACGGTACGCCAGGCGTCGCTCAGACGGGCGAAGCAGCGGGACTGTGTATGACCAGGTGTCCCACAAGGCTGACCAGTCCGAGCACCAGTGAGAATCACGTAAGAGCAGCGAACAGAACTGAGAGACCCTCTACTCTGAGCGTACCACTCACGAAGCTGCTGAGGCGTGAGAGACGCGCGGGGGGGTCGCGGGAGCTGCATCTGGCCGCCACCAGTAGTAGAAGCAGCAGGAGTGGTAGCAGTAGTAGCGCCACCACCCCTACAGCCCCAACCAGCGTACCACTCACGCAGCTGCTGGGGCGTGAGGGGCTCACGCAGACGTCGATGGGGCCGCATCTGGCTCCACCAGTAGAGGCAGGAGCAGGAGTAGCAGCAGTAAGGCAGGCAGCCAGGCAAGCCAAAAAGGGAGGCAGGCAGGCAAGCAGGCGACGCGCAGCGTGCTAGCAGGGCAGGGGCTCACCAGTGGTGGGTAGAGTAGGCTCGGCGACTCAGCGGCTCGGCAGCACGGTGGCTCTGCGGCTCGGGCGACTCGGGCGGCTCGGCGGCAGGGCGGCTCGGCAGCAACTGCAGCTCGGCAGCTCGGCGACCCGGCGGCGCGGCTGTAGGGCGGCTCGGCTGCTGGGAGGCTCGGGTGTAGAGCGGCTCGGCTGCAGAGCGGCTCGGCTGCTGGGAGGCTCGGGTGTAGAGCGGCTCGGCGGCGAGGCGGCTCGGCTGCAGGGCGGCTCGAGACGAAGGAGGAGGAGAAGCAGGGGAGACCACACACCTGCCACCCCTCAGCTGGCGGCCCCCGAAGGAGCCGCGACGGGCGACGGGAAAAGGGGGGGGGGGGGGGGGGGGGAGGGAGGCGGCTCGGGCGGCTCGGGCGGCTCAGGCTGCACGGCGGCTAACGCTTGGCGTGGGGGGGGGCGGGACGGCGGCGTGCAGCAGGGACGGGCGGCGCACGGGCGGTGTGAGGCCGGGACGGGTGAGGGGTCAGGACGGGCGGCGTCCTGGCGCCGAGGGGCCGAGACAGGAGAGCGCGGCCGGGACGGGCGCGCGCGGGTGGCTAGGGGCCGGGACAGGCGGCGCGCGGGCGGCTAGGGGCCTGAACGGGCGGCGCGCGAGCGGCTAGGGGCCGGGACGGGCGGCGCGCGGGCGGCTAGGGGCCTGAACGGGCGGCGCGCGAGCGGCTAGGGGCCGGGACGGGCGGCGCGCGGGCGGCTAAGGGCCGGGACGGGCGGCGCGCGGGCGGCTAGGGGCCTGAACGGGCGGCGCGCGAGCGGCTAGGGGCCGGGACAGGCGGCGCGCGGGCGGCTAGGGGCCTGAACGGGCGGCGCGCGAGCGGCTAGGGGCCGGAACGGGCGCGCGCGGGCGGCTAGGGGGCTGCAGGGCAGGCCGAAAGAGTGAGAGCGAGGGCCCGGAGCGCGCTCCGGGCAGAAAAAAAAGTTTAAAAGTGGTGGGCCCTAAGCACAGTTCCCACGGGGGAACCTGCTCGATACCATGTGGAAAATAGAACCAGAATGAATGAACTATGAGTGAAGTGAGTACAAATAGCAAAACCCTAATTGGGTTGTACCCCCTATGGTATACCCCACTGTAGCCTACACAACAGCATAAGCTACATATATGTTCTGACATAAAGCGCATGACGCTGAGCGTGGTCCAATCGCCTCTAGCGCCCCCAGCACCAGCAAAGCGAAGCCAGCGCGACTTGCACCAGCAAAGCGAAGCCAGCGCGACTTGCACCAGCAGAGCGACGTTAGCAAGAGGATAAAGAAGAAAGAATGACGAACAGAGACGGACGAGGGAGTGAGAGTCGAGCGAGAGATAGAAACCAAGGAAACTAAAATAATCAACAAAATCGAGGTAGGCAAAACGTAAACAGAGAGGGTGATAAAAGAAGAAGGCAGTTACACCTAAAACTGATCATAAACGGTGTCAAAATCTCTACAAATATCTCTTATAATGTCTACTGAGCTTAAGAAAATAGGTAACAAAGCTTACCTGAGGACCTCTAGGCGGCGTGAGTGGCGTGACTGGTGTGAGTGGCGTGACTGGCGTGAGCTGCTGGACTAGATCTAGAAACGTGAGAAGTTGGAAGAGCCAGAAAAAAAAGTTCCTCGAAACCCTAGCAATTCCTCAAGACAAATGTTAGTGTTAATACGACACTACTAGTTGATAAGTGATTTGGCGCAATGGTTTCGATGTATTCGAATATGCAAGATGAAACCATTGCGAAACTCGTCGGGAAACGTTGAAAAGGCAAGATGCGCTCCAGTTGTTTCGTTCAGTTTTATGGCACCAAATTCTTGATGCTCTTTAGGTAAGACTAATAACATTTAGTTATATTTCCTTTTTTTACCACAACACAAAGCATACAAGTTTCTAGTCTAGTTAAAAGTATAAAAGCTTAAGTAATACCCATCAATCCAAAAGCTTTGGATCTTTGGAAAAACAATATTGCCTCATGCGTTCAACACAGCTTAAATATGTACATTGATAATGTAGTTTTGAAAGCGCAAAACGCTTCGCAACCCTAAGACGATTTCGTCGCCCCTTGTTTTTTTTTTTTTTTTTTTCAAGTCTGTTTCCGCTGCTGCTCGTTTCTGTGCTGTGTTTGTTCGCTGCTGTGGTTCCGATGCCTCCTGCACTGCACTGAGGCCCAAGGACGTAGCAACATTTTCACCAAGGGATGGCGCTTCTTAGAGAGGTGCTGTGCGCTGTGCGGCAGTATGGTAAGTCGTTGGGCAGGAAGAGTCTATTGGGGGGGCAGAAGAGTCTATTAGGTCGCCATGCGGCAAGTCTTAGACCTCAAGTAAATTGCTTTCTCGGTCCGTCTCCTCTGATGCTTCTGACGCACCCTCCCTGTGCTTGCTCCTGTCTTGTGTGCGCTTGGCTGCTGCGAGGGTGAACACCTCCGCAGCGACGAGATTTAGAGGGGCGCGAGCAGGCGTCATGTGATGCAAATAGGCTCACGTGCTGGCTTGTGGACGACAAGGGAGGGGGAGGGGGAGGGGGAGGGGCGCGAGCAGGCGTCATGTGATGCAAATAGGCTCATGTGCTGGCTTGTGGACGATAGGGGATGGAGGCGGGGGGTGGGGGAGGGGCGGAGGGAGGTCGGGAGAAGGGCGGAAGGAGGATGGCGGAGGGGGAAACGGCACTGGCATGGAAGCTCAGCGTCACTCAAGGGTGCCCATGAGCACACACGCACCCGTGGAATCATGTGGGGTCTCAGTTGCAGCAGGTGGAATCATGTGGGGTCTCAGCTGCAGCAGGTGAGTTCGTCCCTCTCCCATCTCTGCCCCTTGACACTCCTGCCTCTTGCAACTTTTGTTTCTGTCCTCCGTGGTTGCAAGGGGGAGTGCGTGGGTTTCAGCTACATCGGCACTTCCATTTCGATCCCCGATATTTTCGTCGTACCATGTTCGCCCTTGCATATTTTACTTCAGCCATTTCTCTTGGCTCGTCAGCCCCTCTGAATGTACTCTTCTTAGCTCCCCAGCTCTCCCCTTCTCTCCACTTCTCTCCCTTTTTCTCCTCATCTCCCTTTTTTCGTGCAACAGGTGTGGTTGTAGCAACAGCATCAACGTGAAAGCATGGTTGTTTAAGGGGTTCAAGCTGAAATGGTAAATCCCATTCTTCTCCATCGCTTCTCTGGCTTTTCTTCCAGCTTCGCTCTCTCTTGCTGATGTTCGTTTGCTGTCTCGATGCTTGTTGTACTAAGTTGCAGTTTCTTCCCCTCTCCCCTTCTCGCCATCCCGCCTCTTGCCATTACCCCTCCCTGCAGCTTGCTTTTTTGCAGACGGACTGAAGCAACGAACGCAGCCGAAGCAACAACAGGCAGTGCAAGAAAGAGCATGTGGGGTTTCAGGTGCAGCAGGTGAGTTCCATCCCTTTCCCGTGACTTGCCCTTAATACTCCCACCCGTTGCAACTTCCGTTTCTATCCTCTTCAGCTGCAAGAGAGAGTATGTAGGGTTTCAGCTGCATTGGCACTTCTATTGTTGTCCTCCATTGTTTTAGTCGTACCAGATGTTCCCTCGATTGTTTTCCTTCTCCCGTCGGCCTTCGCTGGCTTAAGCCTCATACTCCCGTCGCTCCCTTTCTCCCCCCCATCACGCAACAGGCATGGCGGTAGTAACAGCATCAATGTGCATGCAGTAACACTCGAGGGCAGGAGGGGAGGAGGGGAGGAGGCAGAAAGGGAGGGAGGGACGAAGGGAAGAAAAGGAGGAGGAAAGAAGGGAAGGACGGAAGGGGGAAGCAGTGAAGGATACAAGGGAGGGTGCTGTGTGGGAGAGGATCGTCACCACATGGCTCGGAGCATGGCTCGCCTTGTCAGTACGGTAAGTGGTTGGGCAGATCTACTGGGGGGGTAGAAGTGTCTAGGTCGCCGTGCGGCAAGTCTCAGAATCAATCTTTGTTAGTTATGAGTTAGTTTTTCCTGCGTCTTCTAACGCACTCTCCGCTGCACTCGTTTCTGTGCTGTGTCCACTCTGCAGTGATGCCGGTGCCTCCTGCACTGAGACCCAAGGACGCAGCAACATGCTTGCCAAGGGATGGTGCTTTCTCGTAGAGGAGGTGCTGTGCGAGTGAGGCTCCTCACCCCTTGCCTCGGAGCATGGCAGCACAGTAAGTTGTTGGGCGTCGGGTCTACTGGGGGGGCAGAAGAGTCTAGGTCGCCATGCGGCAAGTCTTAAACTGATTTCTGATTCCTTTGGGTCTGTTTCCTCTGCTGGCTCTGATGCACTCTCCTCTGTGCTCGTTTCTGTGCTGTGTTTGCTGCTGTGGTGCCGTTGTCTCCTGCTCTAACGCCCAAGGCCACAGCAACAGCCAATACCACACCCTCTTTAGACAACCTCGGTGTGTGCCTCTGCCTTGAGTTGCCGCAGAGGCCAGCAGCCCCTGCCTCGGGCACTGGAAGCAGCTCGGAGCACAAGACTCAAACCGTCTCCAATGGTATTTCCGCAGATGGCCTTTCAGATACCCTTTAGTTGCCCCCTTAGATAACAGTTCAGGTGCCCCCTCAGGTAACAGTTTCAGGTACCCTCCCAGGTGCGCCCTCAGGTAACCCGGCTTGCACTAATAGCGCATCATTCTATGCTCCCTTCCCTTGTGCCTTTCATCACGCCCTCTGCTTGTTGATCTCTTGATGAGTTAACACTCTGCTCGCTACAATGACCTACGTTGCACCCCCACCTTTCCCTCCTTTCTCCGTTCCCCTCTTTCCTCCGTTTCTTCCTTTCCCCGTTACTCTGTTCCCACCCGTGTCTGTGCAGGTGGCGGCACGGGGGTGGGAGGAGCAAGGCAGCACAACGGGTTGGAGTGGAAGAGGTTCAAGCCAAAGTGGAAGACCCCCTTCTCCTCCATCGCTCCTCTGGCTTGCCTCTCTCTCCTGTTTTTCTTCTGCTGTCTCTCTGCTGCTGTACTAAATGCAGTGTCTCTCTGCAACCTGCTTCTCTGCACCCTGCTTCTCTGCATCCTGCTTCTCTGCACCCGGACTGAAGCAGCGATGGCAGCTGAAGCAGCAACGGCAGTGCAAGAGAGAGAATTATCTCAGCTGGGGCAAGTGAGTTCAAACCCTTCCCGATCGCTTGAGCTGAAGCAACAACGGGCAGTGCAAGAGAGGGCATGTGTGTTTCAGATGGAGCAGATGAGATCCATACGTTCCCTGTCGCTTCCCCTTGACACTTACCCCTCCTTCAACTTCCATTCTGTCCTCCGTGGTCGCAAAGGGGAGTGTGTGGGGTTTCTACTGCATTTCGACATCCGTTCTTAACCTCTAGTTTTTTCTGATGGCATATCTTCCTTATTTTTTTTGTGTGTCATTTCTCTTGGTTTGCTTGATCATCTGACCACGTGCCCCTCCCAACGTACTCCCCTCAGCTTCCCTTTTTTCCCCTTCTCCCCCTCCACACACAACAGGTTTGGTTGTAGCAACAGCGTGCATGCAGCACTACTAAGGGACAGGAGGTGAGGAGCTGAGGAAGAAAGGAGGGAATAGGAAGAATGGAAGGAGGTAAAAAGGGAAGCAGGGAAGGAGGGTAGGATGGAAAGAGGGATTGGGGAAGGATGGAAGGGAGGGTGAAAGGATTGCTTGGGAAAGACAGGGTGAGTGTTTTTTCCTCTCGCTCGATTCAGTGTGATCCTTTTTGCAGGTTAAGCTTTGTTTCCCGTTTACTCCTTACCACCCGTTGTTCGCCCATCTCTGCACCTCTCTGCTCCTTCGTGCGCCTCTCTGCTCTTTTACCCCATATTCATGCCGCTCCTTGCTTTCAGCTGCATTTGTCGCTTACATCTCTTGCCCCTCGCTATCTCCCTTGCTACAATGTTTGTTCCCCTTATTTAATCCCCCCTTTGTGGTGTTCGTCCTCTCCCCACTACTGCCCCATCCTCCTTTCGTCCCCTTCTTCCCTTCGTAGGTCATCAAGGGGCAACAGCATCAGCAATAGCAGCAGTAGGAGTTGTCTCAAGGGGTACATAACTAGTGCAAGGCCTTGTAAATTATATACCGGTAGAAAGAATGCTGCAGTATGGTAAGGTATTGTAAGATACCGCGAGGTATAGTGATAAAGTACACTGAGGTACGGTCGGTGAGGTATGGTAAGGTACACCCACCACACAACCAATCCAAGGCAAAAGAACCACCTACGTAATAAGGAAAGCAGACTTGCCTAATTGAATACAGGTACACATCATATGCCTAATCAGGGAGGGACCCACCAGGCAAGGGATGTGTCTAGGGACATCCAGAGAAAAAGCTGCAGCCAGACAGAGAAACAGTGCCCGCCCTCCCCACCAAATTGACAATCGCACTGCAGCAGAACCAACCAAACCAATGGAGAGATTATAGCTGCATGGTCCCATATTTAAGACACGCTGATCTACCAGTGTAGCTGATACATTTTGTCACCTTTTTAGAGACTTGCTGGGAAGAACAGGCTCAATTTTCAGCATCATCTACCGTAATATTCCAGGCTGTTAATATTCAACCGTAATTTTGCTCACCGCGGTGCTTGTGTATATAAGGTTCGGAAATCAGACTCTGAACGGTCCTGGGGACATAAAAGAGGAGCCCTAAACACAAGTAATGGATAATAGGATTTGGTGCGGTATTTTGCTAATGGTACCTTGGGGTGTTGGATTGTTCTGCTAAACCATATACAGAGGGGGAGGGTAAGATTATTTGAACACCAAACCTAGAAATTGCTAATTTCTTGCCAGTACAAGAGCAGGGGGTCTGTACTGCTAAGTACAACTGGCCGACAAAAAGACCAAATAAGGGCAATAACATATCTTATCTACCCACCATGTGTGCTACACTGACGTTGCATAGCACTAGCCGAATGTGCCGTAGTGTTCAAAACGAGAGCAACACATCAGGCCTTCTCTGCGATTCTGCTGAGATGCTCGAGCACCAGCGACGTGCCCTTGGCAAATGACACATCCTCATAGACGAGTCCGTGCTTCTCGCACAGCTCCTTCACTGATTTGCACGTCTTGCCCAGGTGGTGTCGGGGCATGGTGGGGAACAGGTGGTGCTCCAGCTGCCTGTTCAGCCCGCCTGTGAACCAGTCGTTGAAGAAGCCGCCATTCACATCACGCGTGGTCACAATCTGAAGGGGGTTCAGAGAAGGCATTGGTAGGTGGAGTTTAGTATTATCCTCTTCCAATTTGTATCCAGAAATGTTTCTTTCCAGCGGAACTGTTCCCAGGCCTACATAGTCTGTTACCCTTACCCATTTCCTCGTTTCACATCCCAGAACCGCGAATCCATGCAAATCCAGAGCAACGCACCTGGGCGGTGTAGAAGTCTTTGCCCTCGTTGTAGATCTCCATGGCGTTGTGGCTCTGCACGAACACCACCGCCAGGAACAGCCCGCCGCAGATCTGCCCCGTCAGCATCCACATAAGGCCCGTCCAGAACGGCAGGCAGCCGAAGCCGAACCCGAGCACCCACGCGTAGTGCAGCACCATGAACAGCCGCTCCCAGAAGCGCTCCTTCTCAGGCACCTCGTCCGAGAAGCAGTAAGTCAGGCTCGCGTACGACCTGCATGGCAGGGCGACGGGGGACATTGTGAGAATGCTACGCGTCAAACTGGTTCCAGGGGCCGAGCTCAAGGACATAAACAACGGCAGATAATGCGACGTGCTGGAAGACAGTGTGGCATGCGGCTCTGCGTGGTGATGCGTAGTGAAGATCCGCGTACCAGGCGAAACGGGCGAAGGAGAGGATAGGGAAGAAGAGCGGGCTCTGGTAGCGCAGCAGCGAGCGAATGGTCTTGCTCTTGACGGTCGCGAGAATGTCCTCGCTCCACGCCAAGTACGGCAGCGTGTCGATATCGGGGTCGATTGGGCGGTACTCTTTGTCGCATTCGTTGGGCACGGCGTGGTGCGTGTTGTGCTTGTTCTTCCACCAGTTGGTACTGAAGCCCATAGCCAGGTTGCCGTGGATGTACCCGCCGATGAACGTGTTCCAGAACCGCGATTGAAACACCTGCACACGATTCATATGATGTACGTCAATCGCTCCACTCGTTCGACGTAAAAGATAGTCAGTGATGCAGCGTTGAGTGGGTGCTACGTGCGCGGTGTGCGTCTCAGTTAGCGGTTTCAGGACGACTATTTGCTTCGATAACCAGCGAAAACAACAGCATCAGTGGGAGAGGTGCGCGTGGCGCTGACCTGGTGGTGAAGGAAGTCGTGCGAGAGCCAGCCGACTTGTTGCCAGTAGAGGCCGAGAAGCATGCCGGAGAAGAGCACCCAGCGCGGGTCGGAGGTCCACATGATGATGGCGATGCTGGCGGCGACAATGGCGAACGTCGACAGCACTTTGAACAGGTAATACGCGGGATTGCTCTTGAAGTAACCCTTCGCCACGAACGACGACCGCAGATCGCGGAAGTCCTTAAGCAGATCGCCCGTCGGCTCGACCTCGCTTTCCTGTAGCGGACGAAGGGGCAAGCGGTCGAGAGGCCTTCGTGATTAGAGATACGCCATATGGCTTCCAAATCTTCATAAGCCTGATGGGAACAGGCTAGTAGGTACTAGATGATCCTATACTGTGCAGATTTTGCATAACAGGTAGAACTTCGGTTTCACGAGACTACGAGGCCACTTAGGTGGTTATCGCTGGACGACTATGGTTCATTCGATGATCTTCGTCGCTTGAATCGCAATCCAATCAGGGGGTACATCGCTTCTATCGTAAACAAGTGAGTTAGTACCTTGAGCTCGCCGATTTGCAGCGTGGCGAGGAACGATTTGGTGGACGGCTTGTGGAAGGCGGCGAACACGTCAGTGGCGTTGCGACCCGCGAGCGAGTAGATCACGCGCCCGCCTGGATGCCGGTCGGCGAAGTCGCTCACATCGTACACCTGCACGATCCACCGACACGCGAGATGAATCATGCACAGATCAGACAGGATGTTAAACGAATCGGGGCCAAGCAAGAAGCGGGACGAGGAGGATCGGAACTAGACGAAAAACAAACACAGTTGCGGATTCGAGTAGGACCTTGTTTTGGACGACCACCCAGGCGTCCCCTGAGCGGTTGTGCTTGGACACCTCGTCCATGGTGAACTGCTTCGCCGCATTGCCGTTGGATCCGGCGACGGATCGCTTCGTGAGCCCGCCTGCATTACTGGCGACGGTCTCCACGGCTGCGACACGAGCCTTGGTGACCTCGCCCTCGCAACCACCACGACCCTGAACAGACACAGGCGGGACGGCGTCACGTCAGCTCAATGGCAGACTGCACACATCTAAACACGCTACACGGGACGATTTAGTCTGCAATGCCAAGACACGCACCATGGTAATTTACTGTGATCTCTGCACCTAGTAGGGTACCACGGGCAGAGTCCAGCAAGAGCAGTCCCACTTCAGAGCCACCGGAAGGAACTAAGCACAAGAGGCTCAGTCTATAATGGAGGTGAGAAAGAGAACAGAGGATTTTAGTAGAGGAGGCGAGGAGAGATGGTGGTGGGGAGGGGAGCCCAGCAGTGGCAGAGGGGTCAGAATGGTGACCCAATCTCATGCATCAGTGGATCACTTGGGGGCGCGGGACATCCTGACGAACAGTTTACGAGGTAACTACATTCACGACACTCGCAAGAGATATTTTGTGGTCTGTTGTCTGTTCAGCGACACAATGGTTGCCTTTCGCGAGGAATTCACGATCTTAGTGATCCGGCGGGAGACATGGTGGGGGCACCACGACCGAGGGGGTCACGTGGAGGTTGTTCTCGGGGCGTGCGACAGCAGCTCCTGTTTGGCGGAATCCACACCTACGACGAGAATGAATTCGCGAGCGACTCTGGGAGGCTCGGATGCTGGCATGGAAATGATCGGGCTGCAAAGCTCGATGCAATCGAGGTGAAGAAGTTGCGAACGGTTCACATCTAAACATGAACATTTCGCAAATCAGAGGACGACAAGTTGTACAAATCAAGGTCTGAAAAGTGGCGGGAGGGCAACAGCTACGATTCACGCAGCTATGGTAGCAGTCCAGCACAGCACATGTTCCCTCCACCAAAAGTGATCACTCCCGGGGAACCTCAACTCCAACTCCCCCATTCCGCCATGACCTTCACCTACAGATCCAACTCCTGCATTCCGCCGGCTCGGCGGAAGTGGACACCGCCAAAGCTATTCCTTTCGGAGCCTTGATTTGCGGTAAGCAGGCCAATGAACGAAGCGCATTCTGCGACCAAGCTGAGTCGAGGGCGACGCGAATCTTTCTCAGTGTTGCGCTAGAGATTCTATTGGAGGACACAACGAAATAAATTCATTGATGGGCCACATGACGTGGGCCACTGAGGCTTGACCACAGAATGAGGTGGCGCAAGGGTGTCCGTGCATATTGCAGCGCTGAAAAATATCCTGGCCATATGGTCTTTCCGTTCTGCCCAGCAATTTTGTTGACCCTTTCAAGTTATTTTCGGAATCTTCAACGGGAATTTGCACACCCACCCACCTGCAATTCATCCCTATCTGAAAGACTCTAATCTCTTACACTCCTAAAATTTCTGGAAAGCAGGTTGTCGGGAAACGATATCATTATTGAAGGCCACAGATACCTAAGGTCTTTATGCAACATCAGCTATCAGAACTTCTACCTCTTCCCTAGCAGCAAGGTCCTTCACTTTGACTACCCCCCTTTCCCACTCTGTTGAACCCAGAATGATCATCCTTGACGCATTGACTCTCTCAGCCTGCTTGAACGCCCTGAGGAAGCAAAGGACAGTGAGAAAAAAGTTACGGTACTGAATGGGCAATGGGCAAATTTTAACGAAGTACCTGAACAAATAGTTGTTTGATTGACATGCAGAAGGGACCCTTTGACTATTCTCATACCATTTCAGCCGCTTGTTCTCAAGCACCAGGTCCACCCGCCTGCCCTTCTCGCGTAGCCGAGCTGCCACGGATGCAGCAGCGCCGTTGAGTGATTGGTCAAGAGGAACAACTATGTCATCTACTGTCTGTTGGAGCGATGGTAAAAGGCCTCTTTGTTTCAAAAGCTGTGAAGGGGAAAGGGAAGAGATGGCAGAGGGAAGAGAATGGTGAAAAAATAGAGGTGGGCAGAAGATGAAAATATACCAAGAGGAGGGCATGAGAAGCAGGGGTGCACATATGGTGGAGATGAGCAACCTTAAACGTTAAACACTGTCTCATAGACCTTGTCATTTATTTGATGTGCATGATGCACCGTACCATAGTCACCTTTACCAATGCAGCTGCAACTTGCCTCACCTCCACAATGACAGCGTCCCCAAAGCCAAAGCCGCAGGCGGGTGTGTCGGAGGCAGCCCCAAAGGTGGAGAGCAGGCGGTCGTACCGCCCCCCTCCACAGATGGCCCTCAGCTCCCCCTCCCTGTCAAACGCCTGCCCGTGCTCACAGAAGCGCATGGTGAAGGAAGGGGGGGAGGGAGAGGAGGAGGAAGTGGTGAGGGGAGGGAGGGGTGGGACAAAGATTAGAGATTGGCAGCATGAGAACACATGACTGCAAATGATCTACACGAGCATAGTTGGTCAATGGAACAACGGTGTGGAATTGAACAACCCTCAACAGACGTTGCCTTAGACACATACTGAGGGACGTTACCTCAAAGACGGTGCCAGTGTAGTAAGCGAGGCCGCGCACAACAGAGGCGTCAAACTCGAGCCACTCGGCAAAGCCGTGTGCCTCGGCGAGGGAGAAGAGCCGCTCCAAGTCCGCCACCGCTGCACTGCCGCCCTCCTGCCCCCCACTCGCTGCCATGTGCTCTGCAGAGCATCACACAGCCGCACGGCAGGTGATAGAGGTAGGCAATTTGAAAAGGTACGACACAGATTAGCATGAGGAGGAAGGGGGAAAAGTGGATGAAAAGCGGAGGTGGAAAAGGGGTTGGCATGACAATGCAGGAGATGAGGCAGGGAAAGTCTGAAGCTTCTTCCATGAATAACTGAACCGTTCTCAGAGTTGGACTGCTGGCGCACCTCTAAGCTGCTGCAGCGATGTGATGTTCATGGTGGTGAGGATGGCCCGTGCTGCCGCCTCCTCCACCCCCAGCTCCGCCAGCTCCTTCCCCACCGCCCCCTCCCCGATCTTGTCCCTCTGGTCGCACGCACACACACGCACACACAGGAGGAGGGGTGACAGGGTGGTGGAATGCGGGCAGATGGTGAGGTGCGGCCAGAGTCAAAAAGGGAGGTGTGGTGGATGGTAAAAAGGAGTCTGCTGCCGCATGGCAAAGAGAGCTACAGATGTGTGGAAGGAATATACTCTGCACTGACCTTGTCCACCACCACACAGTTTTGAGTCGACTCTAGCTTTGAGTCGAGTTTTGAGTCGACTCAAAGCTAAGGGAGTATACAGATAAGTGGAAGGAATGTAGTCTGCACTGACCTTGTCCACCACCACACACACTGCTGCGAACTTGTCAGCGGGCACACCACTGCCCTCCACCACCTCTTGCAGCACCTGCCCGGGTTGGGAGGAGCGAGGAGTGGGAGCAAGGGCGCGAGTAGTGTGGCACACATGTGAACCCTCCTCATCTAAGACAAGCAGACATGTGTAATGAGTGAAAAGCGGTTGGAACGGTGACAAGCGGTGGCCAGAGGGCAGGGCAAGCACTGCTCATGGGGGGATGCACTGCTCAGAAAAGTGTGCTTTGCCTTGCATGGTGAAGGAAAAGGGTGCAGAGCGGTACCTTGCGGTTGGAGACGCGGATGCCGACGTCCTTGGAGGAGAGCCCCACGCGTGTGAAGAACGCCACCACTGCCGCCAGCAGCTCCGCCTCCGCCTGTTCGGGTGGGGGGAGGGGGGGAAAGATGGGGAGGGAGGGCAGGAGAGGGAGGGAGAGGGGAAGAAGGGGCATTTCTGTTGAGGATTCTCAAGAGCCCCACGCGCGTGAAGAACGCCACCACTGCTGCCAGCAGCTCCGCCTCCGCCTGCTCACTCACAGGGGGGGAGCGGGAGTGGGAGAGGTAGGGAGTGCGGAACAGAAGGTATTTCATTGAGAATCTCAACAGCCCCACGCGCGATAAGTACGCCACCACCGCTGCCAGCAGCTCTGCCCCCGCCTAATCGAGGGGGAAGGGTGAGAGGTGGGGTGTGAGGTAGGTGGGAAGGGAGATGGGATGAAGTTGGTATCTCGCCTGAGAATCCCAAAAGAGCCACACGTGAAACGAACGTCACCACTGCTGCCAGTAGCCCCGCCTCCGCCTGCGCCGCTGCGCGTGGAGAATGGAGAGACAAGCAGATACTTGCGAGGGAGATGTAAGGGGGACAAGGGTCTCTGGGGTTGGGAGGGAGATGTAAGGGGGACAAGGGTCTCTGGGGTTGGGAGGGAGATGTAAGGGGGACAAGGGTCTCTGGGGTTGGGAGGGAGATGTAAGGGGGACAAGGGTCTCTGGGGTTGGGAGGGAGATTCGGATCACAACGGCAGGGAATAGGGGGAGGATGGTGAAAATAAGGGGAGGAGGAGGGCGGGAAAAAGGGACAAGGGGGAGGAAATGGGAGGAGAGCGGAAAGGGAGGAAGGCTGGTAATAAAGGGAGAGAGAGGCAGGCAGGTGATGGGAAAGCAGGAGCTGGCAAGGTGGAGATTGACATGAGAAGAAAAAAAAGGGATTTGAGGTGGGAATTGAGGTGGGTGGGACTTGAGGTGGGTGGGACTTGAGGTGGGACTCCAAGCTGGGACTGCAGCTCCAGTCCCGAAAGCTGGGACTGCAGCTCCAGTCCCGAAAGCGGGGACTGCAGCTCCAGTCCCGAAAGCGGGGACTGCATCTCCACTCCCGAAAGCTGGGACTGCAGCTCCAGTCTCGAAAGCTGGGACTGCAGCTCCAGTCTCGAAAGCTGGGACTGCAGCTCCAGTCCCGAAAGCGGGGACTGCATCTCCACTCTCGAAAGCTGGGACTGCAGCTCCAGTCTCGAAAGCTGGGACTGCAGCTCCAGTCCCGAAAGCTGGGACTGCAGCTCCAGTCCCGAACGCTGGGACTGCAGCTCCAGTCCCGAAAGCGGGGACTGCAGCTCCGGTCCCGAACGCTGGGACTGCAGCTCCAGTCCCGAACACTGGGACTGCAGTTCCCAAGCTGCAGCGTATGAGCGGGCGGTGCAGCGCATGAGCGGGCGGTGCAGCGTATGAGCGTGCAGTGCAGCGTATGAGAGGGCGGTGCAGCGTATGAGCGGGCGGTGCAGCGTATGAGCAGGCGGTGCAGCGTATGAGCGGGCGGCGCAGCGTATGAGCGGAAGGCGCAGCATATGAGCGGACGGTGCAGCGTATAAGCGTGCGGTGCAGCGTATGAGCGGGCGGTGCAGCGTATGAGGGGGCGGTGCAGCGTATGTGCGTGCGGTGCAGCATATGTGCGTGAGGTGCAGCATATGTGCGTGAGGTGCAGTGTATGGGCATGCGGTGCAGTGCATTGGCGTGCGGTGCAGTGTATGGGCGTGCGGTGCACTGTATGGGCGTGCGACGCATTGTATGGTCATGCGGTGCAGTGTATGCCGCAGGTGTCTCCTCTGCCCAGCAGGAGCAGGGACTCGAGGCGGGACTTGAGGCGGGACTCGAGGTAGGAAATGTGGTGACAATGAAGAGCACTTGCACCAGAGTCAAGAGAGTGGTGGCACGATGAGTCACAATGCTTAGTGCAAGGCTGCCACATGTCAGTTCTCGGGCGAGGGGTGGCACTAGGGTGCAACCAGGTTTTCGGGTTCAGGGATTTGGGGAGGGACTGACCTCCACTCCCGGCACTCCGAGGATGTCCATGTTCCACTGGTAGTGCTCCCTGCGCCTGCCACGTGTCATGCGCTCGTAGCGCCAGCACTGCCCAATCGCAAACCACTTCACCGGCAGCGGCAGCGACTTGCTGCTCCGAGGAACGGTCCGACGCGTGGGCACGTGGATGAGTGGGAGGAAAGGGGAGGAGGGATATGGTGGGGGTTGCAGAGCATGGAGGAAGAGAGAAATTGGTAGGGGTGGGGCGGAGTGGAGAGACACGGAATGGGTGGGGAAACGGGAAGTGAGGCACTAGAGAGTGACCAGTTTGCTGCTGGTTCACCAAGCACACAGCATGACAGCGCCGTACCATACTCGCTTGCCACCTGCCATTTGAACCCTAGAGGCGTCTGGCGATGCCTGACGGTATCCCTTAGGGCGCTCCCCCTGCCTGATGGTGGTCTGTTCCGAGGGCGCTCACCCTTTCTGCAGCACGAGGCGGGCGAGCGAGGGAGTGAGCTCGGGGCGCAGAGCCACGCGGCGGCCGCCCTTGTCCTCGAAGTTGTACAGCTGTGCGCACGACATGCAGCACGACATGCAGCACGACATGCAGCACGACATGCAGCACGCGACGCACAAGCCACCAGTGGGAGGGAAACACGGGTCACAGCGGGGAGTGGGAACATGAGGGGTGGGGCCACAGGGGGGTTGGTGTGACAAGGGATGTAGGAATACAGATGGTTCCAGGGAACGAGGAGGGCACAGGAAAAGCACGGCACGTGCACTACCGCGATTCGCCTCGGCCACCCGGTGTTTCCCCGCTCATTCCCCATTCCTCCCCCACCCCTTTCCCGCTCCCTCCTCGCAACTTTCCTGCTCATTCCTTGCCCCTTTCACCTAGGCGCCGACCTGCTGGGTGATCTCCTCGCCAGCCTTGCGCACGAAGAGCTCCTCTGATTCCAGCACGGGGTAGTCCACCTCCTCGAACCCGAACAGTTGTGATACCTGCACGCAGGGAGATTGTGTGATATGGGACCGCTTCAAGGAGAAGTGTTCCTACTCCTGCACATCTTTTGAGACGTCGGTGGTTTCTCCTGCCAAGGTAGTGCGCCTCCCCCAAGCCTCACACCTGCGACACCTGCGCACTCTCGCTCCCACACAGACGGCACCTGATAATTCTAGACTCAGAATAAAAGCTTAATATTGGCCAATCCCCCTAATGGCTCCTCCCACTGGAGGTAAGCCGCATTCTGCTCGCATAATGTCCATGTCAGGCCCGGGAGTGGGATGTGGGGTGCTGCAGGTTATGACGATTTAGCGGCCACGTCTAACCGCCGACCTGTCTGAAATGTCCGAAGAGCCAATTGCGCAGTCGCATGTCGTCAGGGGGGAAGTCTCGAGTGCCACGTGGCGGGCTCACGTCGATCAATTCCGCCTTGCCCCCCGCACCTCCCGCTTTCCCCGACGCCGGCGGACCCGCCGCCGACGGTCCCCGCGAAGAGGCTTTCTTATCCCCCTTCTCCGCTTTCTCCGTCTTCTCCGCCGTTTCCTCCGCAACTGCCGGCGCATTCGACGCCGAGGCGCGCACGGACAGGCTGGGAAGTGAAGCATGGCGGGGGCAGAAAGTCAAGGGTGAACCCTGGGATTGCCTATGAAAACTTCCTGGAAGGATCGCGTGAATGCATGCTCGGCAGATGGCTGTCGAAATGCTGTGTAGGGACGAGAGGTTGCGTGACGGAAAAATTGAGGGATGGAGATGGGAGAGTGAGGACTGGCTATGATTATTGGCTTGGCGAACACAATGGACGATCGACGGCTGACGGCATCGCAGCACGCTCTGTGTGAGAGATGCCGTCGCCATTGCGACGAGCCGCTGCGACGCGATGCTGCGATGCTCCAAAGCGTTTGTGACAGTGGGAGGGCAGTAGCAGAGGGGTCCCTGCTGCACTACGTCGGGAATCCCGATGTCTGGAGTTGCGACAGTACGGCAATCTCCAGCAGAAATGGAGGTGAGATGAAAAGCAGAAATGGCTGGGAGGAGTGGATGGAAGCGGGTGGAGAAGGGAACGAATGGAACTTGTGTGTGTGGCTGGGAGGGATGCCACGAGGATCTCAACTCTCGATTCTCTCGAGGCGGGCGGAGGTGAAAAGACAAGACGGTAGCAGTAAACTCCATAACGCGGCAGAGGGTGTACATTCCCAATATTTCATCCCTTACGGAACGCGGAAACTGTGCACACACATTGACAGAATAAGTGATTTTCTTCCACCTTCCAATTCAATGCCTTGAACAAATGGTTGAGAATGGCACCCTAATTTGGGGGCACTCCTTTATCTCAACTGGATTCCTGGGTGACAATGCATGGAGCTAGCTAGGGCTGTTCTGGGGACAATGAAGGTAAGCGGACAAAGGCAGGTAGATAGTACCTACCATCACTTCAAATACTTGCCTTTGACATGCAAGAAACTATCTGGTCCCACAAGCATGCTCAGCTCACATTCACAAACCAGTATACACACATCACCACCCATATGGACATGTGGAGCAACCATCACTGCCTTGAGAGTGCAACACAGGCATTGCAAAGTTCTAAGCCCAATGTGGGATTCCACTGTCCACACCAAGAGCAGCATATCAGGCCTTCTCTGCGATTTTGCTGAGATGCTCGAGCACCAGCGACGTGCCCTTGGCGAAGGACACCTTCTCATAGGCAAGCCCATGCTTCTCGCACAGCTCCTTCACTGCCTTGCACGTCTTGCCCAGGTGGTGCCGTGGCATGGTGGGGAACAGGTGGTGCTCCAGCTGCTTGTTCAGCCCGCCCGTGAACCAGTCGTTGAACAGCCCGTCACTCACATTACGCGTGGTCACAATCTGAAGGGTCGCAGAGAGGGGACAATGGTGGATGAAGTGGAAAGACCAACCATCACACAGTCAAGTTGGCATGCGTTCACTTTATACCAAGCCTGACCACCACTCAATCATGGCACTGGCTGTATCTTTCAGGCAAGACTGCTCCCAGTGCTACTTGTTCTTTCACCTCTACCGGCTTCCTCATCACACATCATCCCAGGACAGCACATCCACGGCAGTGCAACGCAGCGCACCTGGGCGGTGTAGAAGTCCTTGCCCTCGTTGTAGATCTCCATGGCGTTGTGGCTCTGCACGAACACAAACGAAAGGAACAGCCCGCCGGAGATCTGCGCCGTCAGCATCCACGTGACGGCCGTCCAGAACGGCAGGCAGCCGAAGCCGAACCCGAGCACCCACGCGTAGTGCAGCACCATGAACAGCCGCTCCCAGAAGCGCTCCTTCGCAGGCACCTCGTCCGAGAAGCAGTAAGTCAGGCTCCCGTACGTCCTGCATGGCAGGTATTGGGAAACATCACGAGGATTCTGTTGCCAAGCTAGTCCCCGAGGCCAAGCTAGTCCCCGAGGCCAAGCTAGTCCCCGAGGCCAAGCTAGTCCCCGAGGCCAAGCTAGTCCCCGAGGCCAAGCTCACGTAAAGAGATACCGGCAGACATTGCGACGTGCGGTTCTGCGAGGTAATGCGTGGCGAAGGTCGCGCTTACCATGCGAAGCGGGCGACAAAGAGGGTGGGTAAGAAGAGATAGCTCTGGTAGCGCAGCAGCGAGCGCATGGTCTTGCTCTTGACGGTCGCGAGAATGTCCTCGCTCCACGCCAGGTACGGCAGCGTGTCGATATCCGGGTCAATTGGGCGGTACTCCTTGTCACACTCGTTGGGTATGGCATGGTGTGTGGCGTGTTTGTTCTTCCACCAATTCATGCTGAAGCCCTGGGCCAGGTTGCCGAGGATGTACCCGCCGATGCGCGTGTTCAGGGACCGCGATTGAAACACCTGCACGCGATTGGAATGATCTACGTCAACTGTGAAAGATTATCGGTAATACAGCGCTGCCGCGTGGGTGCGGCGCGCGCGGCGTGCGTCTCAATTAGCGGTTTCAGGAGGACTCTCTGCCTCGATAACGAGCGGAGACAACAGCATCAGTGAGACGACAGATTCGCGTGCGCGTGGCGCTGACCTGGTGGTGAAGGAAGTCGTGCGAGAGCCAGCCGACTTGTTGAAAAAAGAGGCCGAGAAGCACGGCGGAGACGAGCACCCAGCGCGGGTCGGAGGTCCACATGATGATGGCGATGCTGGCGGCGACGATGGCGAACGTCGACAGCACCTTGAACAGGTAGTACGCCGGGCTGCACTTAAAGTACCCCTTCGCCTCGAACGACGCCCGCAGATCGCGGAAGTCCTTGAGCAGATCGCCCGTCGGCTCGACCTCGCTGTCCTGTAACGGACGAAGCGGCAAGAATTCGGGAGGCCATCATGAGATAAGACATGTGTCGCATCGTCCCCGAATCGTGGTAGGCTGTGTGGAGAGAAGCCAGAAAGGTACGAGCCTATTATCTCTCCGTGCAGATTGCCAGACGCGGGCTGGGCCTTTTGAGGCTAGAAAGGTACTACATTTTGCAACAAATGACGGAGCCACTGGCGCTACTAACGTTCATTTTGGCAAACATTGCTGGACGACTTTGGTTCATCCGATACGTTGGTCGTATCTATCGCATCCAAACCCGAGCGTACCTTGAGATCGCCGATGTACAGCGTGGAGAGGAACGTCGAGGTGGACGGCTTGTGGAAGACGGCGAACACGTCCGTGGCGTTGCGACCCGCCATCAAGTAGATCACGCGCCCGCCTGGATGCTGGTCGGCAAAGTTGCTCACATCGTACACCTGCACGATCCACGGACACAGGGTGAAGCCCAAGACAGGATGTTGGAATAAAATCAAGAAAAAGGCAGAACTGGGACGAATCAAGCAAAATCAAAACCAAGTCAGTTGCGGATTCGAGTCGGACCTTGTTTTGGACGACCACCCAGGCGTTCCCTGGGCGGTTGTGCTTGGACACCTCGTCCATGGTGAATTGCTTCGCCGCATTGCCGTTGGATCCGGCGACGGATCGCTTCGTGAGCCCGCCTGCATTACAGGCGGCGGTCTCGACAGCTGCGACACTAGCCTTGGTGACCTCGCCCTCGCAACCACCACGACCCTGAACAGACACAAGGCAGCACGCCGTCACGTCAGCTCAATGGCAGGCTGTGCACGTCTAGAAAGGCTGCGAGGAATGCTACGTACCATGTTGATTCGCTGTGATCCCTGCACCTAGTTTCAGTACCACGTGCAGAGCTCAGCGAGAAGCTGCTCTTTGCACAGATGGGAATATGCATAATACCCTTGCGTTGAAATAGACATGGGCATATGACCCAGACGGGTCCGATCCGACTTGGCCAAAAGGGGTTGACCATGTAGGGTGATGAGGATGATTAGTCAAGAGGAGAGTTGGGTGGAGGAGAGGGGAGTGAGGATACATTCTGGGCTTTGGTCAAACCTTCGGTCAACCAGTCTTACTACTATTCTAGTTGTGCTATCTGTCCAGTTGGCAAGTGTTGCTACCAGAGGTTTGACCAGTGCCCGGAGATTGGGGAGCCCAAGCAGCGGCAGCATCATCGATTGAGTGGATCCCTCGAAACGCGGAACACATTTGCGAACAGGTATCGTGGTCGCTTACATAGTAACCCTTCGTACGAACCTCGCCGAATCCACGCTGTGGTTATTGTGCGTTCGACAACACACATCGTCACCGTTAGCGAGACGCAAGGGCACCAAGGTTGTTCTCGTGGCCGTGCGACAGCACGCCTAAGAAGAGGCACCCTCTGAATTCGCGAATCGGAAGCCGCAGAACGCCTCGGCACGCCCTGGTGCGCTGGGTGTGGAGGCTACCGGGGTCACCGGGTGTGGAGGGCTACACCTAGCCCGCGCCAATTTCACTTCCCCGGAGTGGGGCGGCCGCTTGTCCTACCTATTCACCGACCACGTCTGCACCTTGCCCAGGTAACGACAAGGGGGTGAGAAAAAGGGGGTGAGAAAAAGGAGGTGTGAAAATGGCGCGGACCATGTGTATGTACCCGGGGAGTGGGGTGGAGGCTAACTGGGATCACCTCGCCGAGGTCACCGGGCCGGGCCGAGGTAAAAAAGGAAGCCAAGGACGGTACGGTAGCAATAAACTCTATAACGTGGTTCAAGGGTGTACATTTCCGAAATTTCATCACCTACAAAACGCCAAGCCGTCCATTGCATACATATTCTCACAATCATTGATTTTCTCCCACCTTACGATGTTTTAGTTGAGCATAACACCCTATTTGGGAGCACTCTTATCTGCACCGGATTCCTGAGTGACAATGCATGGAGGTATCTGGGGCTGTTCTGGAGACAATGAAGGTAAGCAGGAGGGGAGGTAGATGTACGGTAGCGCCATCACTTCAGAATACGGTACTTGCATTTGACATGCAAGCAATTATATGATCCCACAAGCATACTCAGCTCAGCTCACATTCTCAGACCAGCATACAGACATCAATGCATGTAGGGACATGTGGTGTAACCATCACTGCTTTGCTTCGCCTGAAGATGGCACATGTGGAATGGATACAACAGATACGTTTACAGCCACATAGTTCCTCTGGGCCCTTATGCAACACACGGAGACTAACAGCAGCATACACAAGGCTACGTATACAACAGGACTGACTATTCACAACTAGATGAGAGTGACATCATTTGACCACGATCCTGAACTACTGTGGTCGCGATTCTCGTTTACACAACCATAGCAATCTTAGGGCTGACGTCAGACGATGGCTGAGCGACAGCCACATTGTCCTCTGCCACCTTGGCGGGAACCACGGCAACCGTGTTGTCGTTGTCGGCGGGAACCACGGCGACCGTGTTGTCGTTATCGGCGGGAACCACGGCGACCGTGTTGTCGTTATCGGCGGGAACCACGGCGACCGTGTTGTCGTTATCGGCGGGAACCACGGCGACCGTGTTGTCGTTATCGGCGGGAACCACGGCAACCGTGTTGTCGTTATCGGCGGGAACCACGGCGACAGTGTTGTCGTTATCGGCGGGAACCACGGCGACAGTGTTGTCGTTATCGGCGGGAACCACGGCGACAGTGTTGTCGTTATCGGCGGGAACCACGGTAACCGAGTTGTCGTTATCGGCGGGAACCACGGCGACCGTGTTGTCGTTATCGGCGGGAACCACGGCGACCGTGTTGCCGTTATCGGCGGGAACCACGGCGACTGTGTTGTCGTTATCAGCGGGAACCACGGCGACTGTGTTGTCGTTATCAACGGGAACAACGGCGACCGTGTTGTCGTTATCAGCGGGAACCACGGCGACCGAGTTGTCGCTACCAGCGGGAACCACGGCGACAGTATTATCGTTATCAGCGGGAACCGCGGCGACAATATTATCGGTATCCTTGGCAGCGACGGTAACGGAGTTGTCGCTGTCTGCAGGAAGGGGACGGCTCGCGTTACAGAACGCGGAAGCCGCGAGGAGGGCGAGAAGAACGAAAGCTGCCTTGGTCGCCATGGCGTCTACCCGATCTAGGAGGTTTCGTTCTGCAAACAATCTACAGTGCTGATGTCCTCTGATGCTTGGGTGCAGACGGTACGGTAAAGACTGGCGTGATGGTGAATGAAGAGAGGAAATGTGAGCGTGGCGAGGGAAGAAATTCGGCTGGTGATGGAGGACATTTGTCATGCAGCTGTGGCAGGTGTTCACCTGGCACCTGAATTGACGCCTGCGATCCGTCTCCGCCATCTCCGGTTATGCTTGTATTGTAACTATTTTCGCCAATAGGCAAGACGCAGATAGCACCTACTGATTTCCTTGTACACCAATGCGCCTCTAACGAGATTCACAGGGTTTTCTATAAGATTTACGTCCTAACGATATATATAAAGCAATCACTAAACAGTTTGACGCACACTAAATAGAAAATATTTTCGTGTTTAAAACAGGCGGCTAGGTGAGTCAATGGAGACAACATGATCCGCGCCATCCTCCTCGTCACTGTCATCAACCGCTCTTTCATTGGGGGCAGAAGGAATTGGTTGAAGTTCACGCGATGGTCCTCCCCTGGTTTCTTTCCTTGGTGCATTCCCTAGCAATGCCGCTCCTGCTGAATCCAGTTGCTGATCTAGCGGAATGGCACTGGACGAGGTTGGGGCTGAGGATGAAGGCTGACGTGGTGGGAGAAAAGCACGGGGGACTTCAGGCTTTGCCACGTCTCCTGCAGCACCACCGTCCCTCGACACCCCATCGCCCTTCACACCATCACTGCCCGGAGTCCGTGAGCCAGCCGCTGCATAGAGCGATGGTAAGATCGCAGACAGCGACGTGCTGTGCGCCCCGCCCCGTGCCAGCTGTCCCTGCCCTGCAGTGCTGACCTGGCCGCTGCGCATCGATTGGACAATGTTGGGGTCACTGGATTTGCGCGCGCTGGCACCTGATGACGTGGCGGCACGATTGACCGGCTGTCCAGCCTGGCAGCCGAAACCAGGCAGCAGGTGCGGCTGAGAGGCCGTGAAGAGGGCGGAGGCGGGCGAGGGGGCAGGGCTGACTCGCGTGGCGTGCAGGTTGTAGTGGCTGTGGTAGTGCGCATGCACATGGCTGTAGTGCAGCTGCGCGTGGTGGTGCGGTGACGTGTCTGTCGGTCTGCGCGGTCTCAGGTTCAGCTGGGACAAGAGGGGGGGAGGGGTGGGAAAGGTGGTGAGGAGTGAGGAGAGAGCAGGAAAAACACACGTGCACAAGTGGAGTGTCTGCCCGCACGCTCACTTCCAGCTCTTTTGCACGCACCTTGCTGCCGAAGACACGCACCTGCCGAAGACACGCACCTTGCTGCCGAAGACACGCACCTTGCTGCCGAAGACACACACCTTGCTGCCGAAGACACGCACCTTGCTGCCGAAGACGCTGAGCTCCATGGCTCGCTCCATGAGCGCCTGGTCCACCACTGAGCGGTCCCTCAGCGCCTCCGCCAGCTCGCTCCCGCGCGGCATCGTCATCTCACTCGCCGCCTCCTCGCCCACCCACCCCACGCCCTCCTCGCCCCGTGCTGCCCCACTGCTCCCGCCTGCGTGCTCCCCCGCCCCCACGGCGGCCAGCAGTGCTTCATTGAGGGTGCTCTCCTCGGCGCCCTCTGCTCCGAAGCGCAGCAGCCCGTCGTGGTCGTGCGTGGCCTGTGGGCGGTGCACGTGGAACGACCTGATTGGGCAGGGAGCGAGGGGCAGAAGAGGGCGAGGACAGTAGGAGTGGATGGTTGCATTGCAGATGACGGAACAAGTGCATGCAGAGCAGGGAGAGCAGGAAGGCGCTGTGCGAGCAAGCAATGCGAAGATGGCACGTGATAGTCATGTGCATGTGTGCGTGCATTGCAAGTAAACGTGCAAGCCCCATGCATGCATCCACTGTCTGGCGCACGCACCTGGTGGGCGTGTTTTGGACGGACATGAGGTCGCGGGGCATGTGGATGACAAGCAGCTTGCAGAGGGAGAGAGCGGAGTAGCGCCCGTGCAGCATGGCAGTGCTGTCCCCATACACTGCCCGCTCAGGGGCTGCACACACACAGTGAGAGATAGCACACAAAGAGTTATGACCTCATGACACGGGCAGCAGTTGATTGCTGCACATTCAATTCTTTCGAACCAGTCAGTCAACATGCAATGGCACGGGCGGCAGTCACGGGGAGCGCACCTGCGGCTGGCAGTGGCTGTGCTGTGAGCAACGCGGGAGCATCAACAGCCACCAGCACGCCATCCTCCACTCGCCCATCCCTCCCACCTCCTTCACCCTCTCCCCGTTGCTCCCCATTGCTCTTCCCTCCTCCTCCATCCCCATTCTCCCCACTGCCACCGCCCAGCAGCCTATCTCCCTCGCCTGGATCACCCCCTTGCACGACATCTGCATCTGAACCCTCGCTCCCTTTATCCTGCCCTGCACCTGCACTTGCAGAACCAGCAGCAACGGAATCAGCAGCGGTACCATCAGCAGCGGCAGATGAGGTGGTAGCAGTGTTTGCAGAATCCATCACAGGGTGAGAAGCAGCAAGGGCGGATCCAGAGAAAGGAATGGCAGAGGCAGAGGCGGAGGCGTTGGCGAGGGAGAGGTCGACGGTGCGCACGGAGCCAAGCAGCAGCACCGCCACTTGCGAGGGCAGCAGGTCCAATGTGTCTCCTGGGCGGCAGGTGAGGAGGTGCGCTGAGTCTGTGAGCAGCACGCGCAGCTCGTGCATTGACAGGGCCCCGAACTCCTCTGGTTGCAGCACCCTCACCACCTCCAGACAGCTCTCCTGCACGCAGGGGAGAGGAACACAGGACAGGGGAAGCGTGAGTGCACAGGGAGGAAGGGGAGGGGAACCAGGGGAAAGGGGAGAAGAGCATGGAGAGAGAGAGAGAGAGAGAGAGAGAGAGAGAGAGAGAGAGAGAGAGAGAGAGAGAGAGAGAGAGAGAGAGAGAGAGAGAGAGAGAGAGAGAGGACTTAGCACCCAGCCCTCTTCCTCTTCCCTTGGCCCTCTTCCTCTGAGCCTATTTAAGGGCCCTTGGTGCCTTCTTCTCCTCATTATTTCGTGTGTTCTCAGTTTTCCACGGCTGGAGAGAGCGAGAGAGAGAGAGGACTTAGCACCCAGCCCTCTTCCTCTTCCCTCGGCCCTCTTCCTCTGAGCCTATTTAAGGGCCCTTGATGCCTTCTTCTCCTCATTATTTCGTGTGTTCTCAGTTTTCCACGGCTCGCGCCGGCGGCCTTCGGCCGCCGCCGCTCGCCAGCGCGGCCTTCGGCCGCGCGTTTCAGAGGCAAGACACTCACACAAGGAGTCGATCAAGCAAGGCATTCCAAGAAGGAAGAAATCAAGCAACTGGAGAGCATCACCTTACGATCAAGATGCAATACTACACGAGACGCCGCTCTACTGCGTGTACAGGCCAGCCCCCTCCGCCTCAAGCATCGCGAGAAGACACCCCGCCATCGAGTGGAGAAGCTCCGCCGAGAAGCGAAGAGTGTCAACAGGGGTCCCGTGCTGAGCCGCTACGTGAAGATCAAGAGCGAGGCGGGGGAAGGTACGGGCTAAGGGTGCTACCCCGGCGGGCGCATCCGACACGGGCGATAAAAGGGGGACAATCTCTCCTGCCCAAGCGACGCACTGTCCTTGGGGCCCTTGAGCAAAACTGCTCGGTGTGTGACGCATGGCCTCACACGCCGCCAGCTGCAGGCTCGCCAGCCCCTCAGCCGCCCCCGCCAAATTCCACATCCGGCACATGCTCAGCGTGGGATCTCTCCCCGCGCGGCTGGGGAGAGGCGCAGTCGGAACTCCGCGCGGCAGAAACACCCCCACCTGGCCCGGAGTCTGGCCAACCGTATTCTGAGGAGCAGGGTAACCTGGGGCTTGGCGGCGTCCGCGGAACGGCCCCCTCGCCGCTGCAGCTGGCAGATACTCCCGCAAGGTTGGAGCGCGCAGCGGAGCGGCTTCAACCGCAACAGGTGCGGTGGGGGGCTCAGTGGTCACAGACACGTGAACGTGAGCCGCTGCCCCCGACGCTTCCACCTCCCGCACTGCATCCGCCACCATATTCCCCGCGCGGTCAGCAGTGGAGCCCTGGCCACGACTACCCCCGCTGCGCGCATGACCATTCCGCCGCCCACGACGCCCTCCAGACCCAGCCGACTGAGGACGGGGCGGGGACTGCTCACGGCGGCGAGAATCCCAACGGCCCGCATGAGCCCCGCGGCCCCGACGCGGAGGCGACGGCCGCGGCGTCCGCTGCGGAGGGGATCGCTCCCGCGGGGAGCGCTTCTCCGGCGACCTCTCAGAAGAGCGGTAGCGGCGGTCGCGATGCTGAATTTCCCGCTGATATTCGTCCCATCGCCGCCGAGAGTCATGCGGCTCGGGGGCGCGACGCGCAGGGGACGCGGGTCGATATCCACGAGGCGGCGGGGACCGGCCCCGCTCCTGACGCGCCGGCAAGGCATTCGACGCGACGACTAGGGGAGCACGGGATTGCTCAGGAGACGCGTGACGATCCGCCCCGCGCAGCGGAAGAGACAACCCGCGCTCAAGACGGCGCACGGGCGCCGACGCAGCAGGACGAGCCTGCACTTGGGAACGCGGAGGCGCATACTCGGGGTTTGGCTGCGCAACAAGCTGAGCGCTCTCCGCGGTTGCTTCCAAGGCGCGGTCGCGACCCACGGACCCCGCCATCACGACCGAGGCGTGAGCCGAGGACGCCAGAGCCCCGCTTGGCAGGGGAGGAGATTGGCGAAAACCGCACGCCTGTAATGCACAGCCCAATCGCGAGGAGTGGCACACCTGGCGGACGACGCGTAGGCGGGAGAGGACGCCGAGGAAGAGGAGCTGGGAGGAGAGGAGGCCGACGTACAGGCGCAAGCGGCTATGCGAGGACAGCAGAACAACTACTCCGGGAAGGCGCGGAAGGCGGCGAGGAAGCCGCTAGCAGGGGGGAGAGTGGTGACTCGGAGAATGACGAGAGTGACGAGGGTGACCCAGGTTTTAACCCCAAAACGGAGGGAGGTTTGGATGCTGAAGCTGATGAAGATGATGAGGAGCTCTTGGTTCGTGGGGCTGAGTTCCCGGACCAACAAATTGGAGCCGCGTCTGCAACACGAACCCCAGCCAGGAATCGGAATGTGGGGGGAAATCAGGCCTGGAGGGGAAATCGGACCGCGGCAGAAATCACATTTGACTCTGCCGCAACCAATAGGAACACCCCAACCCCAACTCCAACCCCACCAATGATCCACCCAGGCGACTTGGCGAAACGACTGGACCTTTTCGCGCAAGTCGCAGGCTGGGACCTGGACCCACTGCGCGACAGTCGCCAGCCCCCCCTCGCCCGTCACCCGCCAAAAGACCTTCGCGAATCATTCGCAGTCTGCCTACTCACCCCACTACTCCACCTGGCAGCCAATCCCAACTCGACCGCGGGGTGGAGGTTACTGACTTTCCTCCCGCGAATCCTCCTACGCACCTCGTCAGCTCGCAAACCAGACTGGAACGCGATGATGAATCGCCTCCTCCGTTTCCGCCAGGGACTCTGGTCTGGCCTGTACGACGAGGCAGTTGAAGCAATTTCCCTCCCAGCCCAGCCACGTCACGTACCTGACACTCAGGGCATCCTTGCTAGAGCGGAGGGACTGGCCAAGCGTGGTAACCTGGCCAAGTCACTACAGTCCCTCCAAGCCACTCCAGTCTCACCTGCCTCCTCCGAAGTGTACGCGGCATTAGCAGCACGACACCCGCAAGCACTCCAGCCCTTACCAGAATGGATACGCACCTTCTCCCCCGAGAAAACCCCTTCGATAGAGCCGCGCGACTTCAGGTGCATCGTAGCCAAACTCCCAAACGGGGTGGGAGCAGGGCCCTCAGGCACAACCTTCGAGCACATACGCGATGCTGCACTCGGAAATCCAGACATCTTCGCCCATCTCCTCGCACTTACCAATACAGCTATAGCCGGGAAACTCAGCAGCGAGGCCACCGAGCTCCTCACAGCCTCACGGCTCTTGGCCTTCACCAAACCGCAGGGGGGGACCCGACCGATAGCCGTGGGCGAATGCCTTCTTCGCATAGTGGCCAAGGCAGCATTGTTCCTGACTGGGGCGGCGGCACGATCACACTTCGCGCCACTACAGTTCGGGGTAGTAGTGGCTGGAGGGATTGAGGCGGCCATTCACACTGCGCGCACATACCTGGAGGAGAACCCGGGCTCGGTGGCGCTGCAGATTGACCTCGCCAACGCGTTTAACGCGGTGGAAAGGGCGGCGGTATTCGAGGGGCTCAAGAACGAGTCCCTTGAAAGCCTTCTGCCCCTTGTCCGCCTCTCCTACGGAACTTCCTCAGCACTCCACCTCGACCATGACTTCGGCGTGGCTCCACTGCTAAGTGCTAGAGGCGTCCGCCAGGGGGACCCTCTTGGCCCCTTGCTCTTTGCAGCAAGCATCCACCCACACCTTCCCGCAACGGCACTAGCTCACCCAAGGGTCGTCATTCTCGCCTATGCAGACGACATAACGCTGCTAGGCGAAGCAGAAGAATGCACGGCGGCATTTACACACCTCACTGCCGCACTGATCCACATAGGCCTCGAGCACAACCTTGGGAAGTGTGAGGCTTGGTCTGCAACCGCCATAGACCCCGCCTCTCTCCCTCCGAGCTTCCCCATTGCAGCAGACAGACTGCGGATATTAGGAAGCCCAATCGGGACCTCAGATGGCTGTGCCGCCAGAGTAAGGGAAAGGCTTGCAGCAGCAGCAGAACCCTTGCCGCCCCTGGCCCAAATGGACCCCCAATTGTGCCTGCTGCTTCTCACCCGCTGCATGGGCCGGCGAGCATCCTTCCTGGCCAGAACCACTCCGCTAGAGGCACTACCTGAGGATGAATGGGCGGCATGGGGGGAGCAACTGCTGCATACCTTCCTGGACGCGGCCCATATCATGCTGCCAAGGAGTGACGCGGAACAGAGGAGAATGTGGAGGCAAGCGGCGCTGGCCGTAACATTGGGGGGGCTTGGCATTACAAATCCTGCAGTTGAAGGGAGCTCTGCGTACCTTGCGTCCGTGGTGGGCACCTCCCACTTACTGCACTCCCTGGCCGAGGCACTCCACCCAGATGTAGCAGCCCTCCTCCCCCTAATGGACCCCACCTCCGGCTCCGCGCACGCCCTGCCTGCACGCCTTGCAGCAGCGGAAGCAGCCCTCCCCCCCGAGGCTCTAGAAGCTCTCCAGGCCGGGAAAGCAGACCCACAGGGCCTCAAGCTGCAGCAGTCTCTAGCGCTGGCGGTTCAGACACGCCGCTTCCTGAGGGTCATGAACGAGGCAAGGCGGATGCGCCCCAATCCCCTCTCTGGCCATGCCCAGAGAATGCGGTCGGTGCTCGGCCCTGGTGCGGGAGATTGGCTGCTGGCACTACCCATCATACCCTCGCTTAGGATGGGACCCTCCCAGCTCTCCTCCGCTGCTGCGTTCCGCCTGGGCCTCCCCCTACCTGTCCCCAGGCGCTGCGACTGCCGCTACCGCACCAAATTCCCTGATGACCGCCTCCCAAACCATCTCATGCGCTGCGAGAAAGGGGGGGGAAGGATTGCGACTCACCATGCGCTCAGGGACGAGATTGCTTTGATTGCGGCAGAGGCGGGATTCACGGTGCACAAAGAAACCTATGTATTCTCTCTCGTTGAAAACCTGAAGGCGGACGTCGCAATCCGCCATCCCCGGACGGGAGAGGTTTGGATGTGCGACGTGATAGTGACGGACCCCGTTTCTCACCAAGATGAGAACTGCAATAGAGCACCGGGGTGGGCGGCTAGGGCAGCTGCGGACAAGAAGGAGCAGAAATACGCGCGCCGAAAAGCGTGGGTGGGCTTTCATGCCCTAGCGGTAGAGACATATGGGTACCCCTCGCCCGGGGTGTTGGCATTCTTGCGGCAGTGCGCGGAGCTGGCGGCCAAGTTGCGATTCAACGCAGCCCCCAACTCCTACGAGGCCGCCAAGCTGCTGACGGAATACCGCCAGCGCTGGAGCGTGTGCCTCCAAAAAGCACAAGCCAACGCCCTCCGCTGCAAGACCAACGAGGCGATAGCAGCGGACGAGCTCGGCATGCGGGGCCCCTTTGCCCCCCTTAGCGAAGGCCAGCTCTACCAGCTAATAGAGCCCTCGTTCGACCTTTAGGGTCGGACGGAGGGGGCGGGAGGGAGTAAGGGAATGAGGTAGTTAGGTAGACCGAGTGTTATCTCTGGGTTTGCATGTGTTTGCATCTTCCCATGTATCTCCCATCAATCAATACCAGGACCATTCGAGAAAGAGAGAGAGGGCTTGAGGCAGCGCACCCCCAGATGGCAGCGGACCCCTGGCCGCTGCACCTGGGGGACATCCTACACACGCTGGAGGGCTAGAGGGTCACTCAGGGGGGAGGGGAGGGGAAGAGGGGTGAGTTGATGGGCTTATGGGATAGAGGTTATCATGGATAGAACTGCATGTTTGTACCCCTGCTGAATTAATACAATGGACCATTTGAGAGAGAGAGGATTAGCCTCTCCCCTTCTATCCTCTGCCCTCTGCTTTCTGCCCTCTGCCATGACTACTTAAGGCCACGGCGGCCTCTCCATCTCTCATTCTTTCAGTTAGTGCTGAAAATTTTGGTGTTGTTCGAGAGAGCGAGAGAGAGAGAGAGGATTAGCCTCTCGCCTTCTATCCTCTGCCCTCTGCTTTCTGCCCTCTGCCATGACTACTTAAGGCCACGGCGGCCTCTCCATCTCTCATTCTTTCAGTTAGTGCTGAAAATTTTGGTGTTGTTCGAGAGAGCGAGAGAGAGAGAGAGAGGATTAGCCTCTCCCCTTCTACCCTCTGCCCTCTGCTTTCTGCCCTCTGCCATGACTACTTAAGGCCACGGCGGCCTCTCCATCTCTCATTCTTTCAGTTAGTGCTGAAGATTTTGGCGCTTCGCGCCGGCGGCCTTCGGCCGCCGGCGCTCGCGTGCAAGGCCTTCGGCCGCGCGTTAGGGATGGCAAGGGGAAACAACAAGCAGTAGTAGCTTAGGCAACCGATACAAACAAAGCAAGCATAGACACTTAGCAAGTAGAGGATGGAACGGGTCTATACGCGCAAGGGGGGAGCGCCTACATGCGGTCCGCCTCTACCGCAGCGAGCATTCCACTCGTGTTCAACCACAACTGGCGGACCACAGACACGGTGGCGCCTACAACGTCAACAGGAGTACCAGGGCCTGCTACAAGCGTCCTCAGAGCCAGGGCCGAGTCAGCCAGCTGGCTGGCCGAGGTTGTTCCCGGCGAGGGCGCTACCTGCAGTGGCGTTACGAGCGCGAATAGCGCTGACGCCGCCGCATGACAATCTGCTCGCGGTTTCTGAGAGAACCTGCTCGGAGGGCTCACCGGCATGGAGTCAAATGACTCCTGGAGAATCCGCTTAAGGCTCTGCAGGGACGCCGCCAGCGACCAAAAGCGGGCCAGGGTCGCAGTGGGAACTTCCTTCATCGGCAGAAGTAACGCAGACGCGCGGGCACGGTGAGACGACACGGCGAGATCACGCGGAGCAAGAAGAGGACGCGGCGGAGCAAACTGAGCCCACGGCGGCCCGCCACCAGCACCTACGAAGCCCATCCCTGCAGGCAGCGGCCGCTCTGAACGCGCCGGGGATCCAAAGGGATTGTGGGGCAGGAGCGCGGAG